ACTTTCCCTACTAAGGCACACTCTCATGCGCCAAATGTTCTACATGTAGCATTCACTCATCACCTTCTTTTTCTTTCTTTTCCTGGTTCTCTTCTGCTGCAGTTTTATCTGCTCTGAAAAAAATTCTTGCGCTGCTTAGCGAGAAATAAAGGAGTTCAAATTCCTAAAGGAAAAGATACAGGAGTGTCAGTATATCACAAGAATGAATTTGTAGACAGAAATAAATGGGATTTTTCAGAAATGTCCAAGGCAACTAGATTTCAATATCTAAATCACTTAAATGCTTTTGAAAATCCTCCTCCATTCATACCTTGTTCACATGCATTTTACGAAGCAAATGTCAGCCAAAAACTTTAAAGGGTAATTTAAGCAAAGCAGCATCAGTGCAATAAATCTGTCACTAGTCCACTGAGGCTGAAAATGAGGTTTGTAACAGCAGTGCGAATTTGAGGCAACTTGCTCATGGAAAATCATGCAAGCCAATAATTTAAATGACCGCAAGCTTGATCAGTTTCTGAACAAGGTGTGATACAGGCTTTTTAACAACAGAGGACCAAACACAGTGCACACTCATAGGAGTCATGAGGACACACAGGGCTTTATCTATTTCAACAACAGATGTGCTTTTACAGAAGGTAATCGTGGGCTATTTATAAAAATAGGCAACTACAGATTTGTCCCATAGCCGCCTCAAATCAAGAGCGGAGAGGGAGAGACAGAGAAAGCATTTACACCACCGATGAAACCTGAACTTCTACGCTTCCAATTTCAAATGCATCTTTCCTCTATTTGACAGCTAGTGCATCACTCAACTTCGCAGCTCAGTATTAACTCTGGGAACCCTTAGAGTTGCTTGGGTGTTATGTAAAATCTTTGCTATAAGACCTTTAACCAAAAAGTTATTCTCTCCTATTTAAGCATTTAGGTTTTAGTTGCATTAGATTTTGAACTCCATGGGACAAAGACTTCCAATCAACCATGTCAAGTTCCTGCCTCACTCAAATATCACAAACACTTACAACATCCCCTTCAGATCATACACCTCAAGTCTTCAGACTCTTTTTGCATTGTTGCTGTAGACAATGCTCTATGTTTTTTTTCTGATGGAGCTTGTCAAGAGTAAACAGATACCGGAATTGTAATGGGTAAGTGCAGAACTCAATATAGAACAGATAACGAGACCCGTGCTATACCTGTAAACAAACTTCCAGTCGCTTGTGGGTAAGGTTCATAGTTTGTAGTAGTTTTTCATCTTGATTAGTGGACTGCACATTCTGTTGCTTAGCTACTGCTCTTATTTCCTTCACATACTTCTCTCTAACAGACTGGAACCAGTGCAGAGAATCAAACTCCTGGTACTGATCCAAAAGCTTCAGAATGTAAGCCACACCTATAGTCATTAACAAACCATGTACCAAAGTCAACATGTAATTTGTAAAACATTTTGTGAATGTCTTTAATGGATCAGTCTAAGCTGATAACTCCCACACAACTAAACCAATTACAATTACCTTACAATTAAATCTAACAGGAAAAAGGATCATAATAAAGAACAAGCTTAGATTTTTGAAAACCTCATAACTTATCCAAAGACTTGCATACCTTCTCATCTGCTGAGATCTGCGACCTTTGAAAGAAATCAGGGAGCACCAACTTAAAACAAACCTGTCTGCTCCCATACTCAGCTATTCCATGCTTAGGAGATTCTGAACACAACAATAGCCCTCAAATCCATTTTGCTGAAGCCAAGACAACCCAAATTTAATTTATGGAATTTTTAATTATGGGAACACACAAAATAGAAACAAAACTTTTCTTGCAAATATCCATTGTGTTGGTTTATCCAAAGGCTAGTCAGTGTGCTGAAACTTACCCATGGCAAATCCATCATCAGTGAAAGCTGCTCCACTTTTGTTCTTCTTATTCAATTTCTCCTTGCAACTGATTGAATGCTCTACAAAATTGAGCGTCTGAAAGAGTGAAAAGCTGAGTCTCTCTTGATGATTCCAAGACACAATTTTAAACGGTATTCACATACACGCTGTTACTTATGAATATAATTCCATGCCCAAAACTATCCTAATTGTGTCTCTCATCATTAGGCATTTTTGTATGAAAACTTGCCCTTCTTCTAGATTTTTTGGGAGGAAAGTAAGTTAAGCTTTAGAAAACATTTGCATATGCATAAGTAAAAAAACAAAGGTATATTTTCATCTTCACTGTTCTTGTCAGACTATTACTTCACATTCTCTTGGTGATTGCTAGAGGTAAACACATAAACAAGTAAAGGACAATTAAAATAGCCCAGGTTCCTGGAAAGCTTGAAGATATTAATGTTTTAAAGCTACAGTACATTATTTCACTCTATCTAGAAAACAGTAAAAACATTTCAATGGTTCAACATCATCGTAAATGTAAGACAATAGATCCAGGTAGTACAATGGATATGTGTTTTTATGCAATAACTACTCTCGAGACATGGAAACGTGCACATTAATAACTTCTCAAAAACCTATGACAGTTTCAAATTTAACTACACTGAAATGCCTTTTTAAAACTAAAATGGATGGTATATTCCTGAAACTGTATGTATTAGAAAAAACTCAAAACAGGAAGGGAAAAGAAGAAAAGTATTTGTCATGAGCCTTTACTTCCCCTCACTTCTATCACCATGACATACCTGTCCTCTCACAGTCTTAAGTTTATGGCTCATCGACATTCCAAAATTAGTTTCTAAAAATGGGATATTACACAGTAATCTGTTTAGATCATTTAGGCCTTTAAATGGAACTGCTTCCAAATGCCCAGAATGCTGCACTCAAGTGTGCATCAACCTCAATTCAGCTGGACTCTTTCTAAAGAAAGCCCACTAGCAAAAGCAGGTCCAATTGCAAGAGGGAATGCCCCAATTGTACTGCATTAGATCACGACACTAAAAGAACCTGAAGATACCTAATGTGATGTGGAAAGAGCATAAACATGGAAGCGCTGAAGAGCTTGGTTTTAAACTCCCTTCATCCTTGCTGTTTCAATTCCTCTTTTTTCATCTTGGCTTCTCCAAATTTGATTCAAACAGGAGAAGAAGAAATTTTTAAAGTTACATCAATTCATGTACTAGCACTCAAAGGTAAACAAACAAAAACATGGCTGTGGACAACTATCAACAAAGCCACACTCAAAGCAATCCCACTCATAATCAGGGAAGAAAGTAGAAGATGATAATCAACAGCCTAATACAACATACTTAAACACAAACCTGATCTGATAAATTTGTTAAAATAAGTATGGTAGACACAATGCAAATACTAACCAGCGGGGGAACAATTATATAGAAGTTCCGCAAATGCATGTTCTTTGGGCTGCGGAATTCGGGAGCAAATACATCCACAAGCATTTTGAAGTACTCTGTTCCTTCTGCAAAGTTACGGGTGAGGTCACTGAGGACAGAGTCCAGCTGCCTGCAAAAGAAGCAGCAATGTGTTACCGGGTCTCTGCTAGACATTTCCTTGCTTACCCTTCAGGGTAACAACCCTCTCTTCATCCTTTGGCTGCACCTACAATCCAGTATTTGGACAAGAGTGCCCAAGATTACACCCTACCTCTACAGCCACCTTAAATCATGTTTCTTGATTTAATTTCCTCAAAAAAGGTTTATGAATACTTTCCTAAGACCCTGAACATTCTAAAAGTAGATGTCAGACATGTGGTGAGGAAAGCTTATTAGCCTTTAAGCCACAAGGACTTTATCAAGAAACTACATTCTAATAGTCTATTAGTTCAAACAACAGAATCATAGAATACCTCATATTGGAAGGGACCCATAAGGATTGAGTCCAACTCCCTGCTCCTCACAGGACTACCTAAAACTAAACCATATGACTAAAGACATTGCCCAGATGCTTCTTGAACTCTGACAGGCTTGGTGCCATGACTACTTCTCTGGGGAGCCTGTTCAGTGACAGCCCACCCTCTCATTGAAGAACCTTTTCCTAACATCCAATCTGAACTTCCTGAAATGCCACTTCACATGCGTTTTTAGAACAACTTCTTCTATTTTCTCTGCTTTTAAGAGCAGCAAATATTTTTGCATAAAATCAGCTAACTTTTAACACACGCACATACAAAAATGCAACTAACAGCTGCATTTACAACTTTAAAATTATAATTCTCTCATCCCATCCCTGCACCAGACCTCAAAAGCATGGTGTTAGGGTACCTTGCTGCTTTTTGTGTTTCTTCTGAGAGTCCTTCTTCTTTCACCAGCTCTTCAAAGTTGACGATATCTTCCAGATCAGGAACAAACCTGAAAACTTCCTGCTTGTCAGTATTATGTTCAACTGTCTATGTTCACTGAAGTATCGACCATAATTTGTAATTTAGTTAATTTAGTCTTCTGGGCTTGAACTACATACTTAGAAAGTTATATCATACCATCTCTTCTCTCCAGCACTTGCTAACTGTAAGTTTACTATTATTTGCAAGAAAACCAGTTATTTATTTTTATGTAAAAGTCACTATGTTTTAGTGACCTTTAGATAAACACAGACAATTGTCCATACAGAAAGAAGTATCAAAGAAATGTTTTTTCCAGGCTCCTCAAGGCTTGTACTGTTTTTCCTTAATACACCCTCTCGAAGTGATTAACATCAGGAATTACTGACTTAATTAAGGGCCAATGACTTTGATGTACATTCTATTAACTCTTTTGCAGTATTTTTCCATAGAATTTGTTTGATTTTTGTGTTTTATGCCAATGATTATACAGTTCTGAATTCCAGCACTGTTAATTGATAATTTCACTTTAATGAAGGCATAAAATGGACCTTTTTAATAAAAATTTATGGGGGATAGGTAAGAACCTAGGGAATATCAGCATGAATAGGGAGCAAAGGAATGAGAAGGAGCAAACAGAAAAAAAGAAATATTTGTGGAAGTACCTAATTGCACTACTACAGCAGTGAAGTCCACCAGATCTTATCATTCGTACATAACCCATAGCATTGCCTTAAAAAAAAAAAAAGAAAAAACAAGGAAGTAATTTATAGTACAAACTCTTTTCACTGGACACATTAAACACTTGCAAGTTCAGGTCAGTCCTGTGCATCTACAGCATCAATGGCTGAAAATACCACTGTAGTGTCATGCATCACTCAAAGTTAGTGCAGCTGGATATATGGTCTTTTTCTGAAATACCAGAACTTAAGAGTACTATTTTTTTACTGGGAAAGAAACTCAAAGTCACTTCTATAACATAAAGAAAAGATGAACTTGGAACAGGCATCTGTGCAAGCTGTAGCTGTATTTTAGATTAAGACATGCAAGGGCCATTTCTGTGTAACTGAATCATAGAATCGTTTAGGTTGGAAAAGACCTTTAAGATCATCCAGTCCAACCATTAACCTAACATTACCAAGTCCACCACTAAACCAGTTAAGGGTAGAATAGCAATTTCATGTTTCCTGGCTTGGTGGCTGGATTATTTTTAATGAAAGTAAAAACTAGGAATCATTAAGATTAGAAAGGATCTCTAAGATCATCGGTCCAACCATCAACCCAACACCACCATGTCCACTAAACCATGTCCCGAAGTGCCACATCTACCTGTAATGAGAGTATTTATTTCACATGTGATACAAGTGAAGTACTTTCCATCTGCCTAGAGTTAAATCTAGTTTTAGCCCAAGCTAAATGTTCAGTTACCGGAATATGAAGACCTCTTCCATTTAATAACATTTATAACATTGTCTTAGATAGCATTTCATACCAATTTGACTTATCAGTTGTCTGAACTGGTCAAGATAGCTCTGGCCATCTGGCGTTATTCCAAGTTTTCTGATGCCGCGGTTGAATTTATCTGCTCTTTCAAAGGGATACTAGAAAAATATTTCAGAATAATTTGTAAGAATAATTACCTACCCTTAAAAAAAGTTTTCATTGTGTCAATACAATTCTATTTGCAATTTCTTTTTAATAAATTATACACCTTCCTGTCTATTTAGTTTGCAAAAGTAATTTGGCTAAGTCACTTCTGCAAGTTGAAAAGTGAAACAGAAGTCTTAATGTAAAAAGAAAGTATTCCTAAATGAAACAAGTACTTGACACACAAGAAGCTGGCAGCCAATTTTACCAAATATATTGTGTCTCACATTTTCAAGAAATCAGTTTTCCAGCATGGAAAAATCAGACCCTAGTCCCCAAGTCTTGACACACTGGAATAAGTGCTATGTATTCACATCATTTTGGATTCAATTTGATTAATCTTATTATTCAAAACTGAGAACAACTGTTAAGCATGGTTTGGACCAGAAGTTTAGACCTCCAACAGACCACGACTCCATCAAGTCATTGTTTTCAGGTCACTGAGAGAACGATTTTAGCCAATCCCATATTTACAGAGCAGCCAGAATGAAACAAAGCCACCCTGAATACAGACATTTGTAACACTGCATTTTGCCAGGACAAAAGCTGTCATTTTGTCTGGAGATACACATTTAAATAATAAGAATGTTATGATTTGGTGCACCTTCAGTCACATAAAGTAGCACTTCTTTTAGCCAAGTTACTCTCAATCCTTCAGAAGTTACTATACCTTGTGATCATTTTGATCCTTGACTTCCCTGAAGAATCTGATGTCTTTGATAAGTCTGGATTTGATATGTTCATCATACATGAACTGGCTAAAAATATAAAACTTTTTCCTCAAAAATTGGTAAGTGAAGTTTACCTAGAAGAAAAAAAAATATCAAATCAAGAAAGTTAGCAAAGTCACAAGCATATCTAGCAACCCATTTTCAGTAGATACCAGAGTAACTTGGATTTATTAATGACATAACTTCCAAAAATGGAACCTTCTACTCCGTTTACTTCAATTTGTTATTCTCAACTAATCTTTTTAATTTCACTGGTTTAAAAGAATAAAGAAAACCCTTCTCCTGGAAGACCTACTCTCTTGCAGGAAGGACAGAGGGACCAAGGGACAAGGTAGCTATTTCAGTTCGATGACCTGCCCTACACAGCCATTAGTATATGTCTGGAATATCCTGTAACTGTCCTTTTGAAGCAATACAAACATTTCAAGTTGGAAAGGGCAGACAAGCTCAACTTCCTCAGTTAAGTTGTGGAATCTGCATAACCTCTTGACACACCTTTTCACTTCCTCAAAGCTTTCTAAAACACTCTCCCATAAGACAGAAGCACACTTCTACCCTACATGTCTCAATGACTTCTCATGCATAAACAACTTTACTCACAACCTGAAGTGAATAAATCTACATCATCAGGCAATAATGTAACAGCATTTTTTTTTGAGTAACTGTAGTCCCCAAGATTAATTATTCCAATAACAAGAAAATCACTCTCAGAGGAATAGTGCAAGAGAAGTTATTTCCAATAGCACAAGAAAGCATGAAAACCTTATTTTTCTAATCGTTTCCACTTTTCAACAAGTTCTTTTTTTTTTTTTTTTTAACAGGGCCAGAAGAACAGGAAGCAGCAGATTGGAAAGCACCATCCTGAAAATGTCTTTAGCACTGCATCCAAACCTGAGAA